CATGGACGCGACCCCAACTCAGGAGCTCAGGGGCTCGTCGGGGGAGCCAAAACATAATGAAAAGAACATTCTTTTCACCTAACTCCGAGCAGTAGAAGAGCGGACAATCCGCTTGAAACATACTAAAACGCGACACCATTGTCTAGGCAGCTTTGTCAGGGACCCTGAAGGCGCCCGCTACAAATGCGGGAGGAAGAAAGGTGAGAAATCGCCTCCCGTTCCTCCCCGAAGCACCCCAGCCTCGGGAGCGGTGGCGCGTTGGGAAGAAAGAATGGGGCAGGGATGAACCCACAGGCCGCCACCATCATGCGTCGAAAGGCATGAAGGATCACCAAGGGACGGCAATGCCTCCCCCGAACCTAAGGCAGCTTTTCAAAGTCGTCTGCAGGTACGGGGAGAAACTGGAAGTTGTCCTTGGTGCTCGTGCTTTGGCGACCCGAAACCTATAGGTTTGGGGAAGCGCTTGAGTCACGAGATCCCATGGTCAGCCTAAGCGCTGCCCCAATCCTTCCCTGCTCGCAAGTTCCCTTCTAGCATCGACTACTGAAGGAACAACATCGGCTCCGGCCATCATAAGCGACCCACGGCATGACGCATAATGAGAACCACGCGGTTCCCCTCGAACAACGACTCTCTCGCTTCCTCGCCTCCTCGGCGCCTAGCCTTTTAGGAAATTCTAGGAGGAATTGGAGTCGCAACCATGAGCATCTCAAACGGTAGAAGAACCTCTGCTTATATATATACCCCCATGCCACAAAGCGAACCATGGGGAGACACAGCCAACGTCAGATGGCCATGCGAGGTCGGGAAGATCAAGACCCTCACAAAAGTGGACTAGTACAACGTTGATGAGACTACACGGTTCCACTTGGGTCACAAACCCCGACACACGGAGCACTGACACAGCAAAGCGTCGTAGCCGCCTACCGCATTAAACACACTAGCCCGCAAGGGGTCGAGCAACAAAGCTCGAGTAGGACACGACCATGAGCCCACGCTCTAATGCACGCGCGTACTAGTGATTTCGCTATCACTTTGCGATCGCAAAATTGCACGGAGGCTACTATCGGGGTCATAACCCCGAGGTGTCTCAAGGCACCGATTAGATTAGCAGGCCATGAGGCCTACAATGCACTAGCTGGCAATGGCCTGAACAGCCGAGGCCCAGTCAAGCCGAGCAATCTAGGCAGGACACAAGGGCTAGGGTCGGCCGTGACCTCTTCCTCCAACCCTAGCCACGCGATGCTCAGCGCATGACCTCTCCCCAATACGATCGGGAGAGGTCGCGTCCGGCCAAGCGCTCTAGCTCTGACAAAAGCAAGCACGCCGCACTGACCCCACAAGGACCGATGTGGCAGTGTTCACCTTGGTCCGGTCATACACCATCCCTGTGCCATGCCGCACCAACAAGACAACACCACACAACAGTGGCAACGGGTACGAAACCCACCGTCCGAATACGGACCGACAGGATGCGTGTATGATCCCACCCACTACAGGATGGGATCCATGGCAAGGGTCTCAACTAAGAGACCTCCTTGGCTGGCGGAGTGCCCTAACCCCAATGATCGGGGTCGTGGCCCTCAACCCCATGAAGCGACCCGGCAAACAACGACCCAGAGGCGGCTACCTACTACGGGTACGACGCCCGAGGGGACCTGGAGATGATGGCAAAGACCATGATGGATGTCGCGTTGCACAGGACAGCTGACGAACAATCACCATGGCTACAGTGCTGCCACGACTAGCATAGTAGCACCATGTCAGACCCTATCGCGACATGGTCACAAGACCATGACGATGGCCACACCCAGACAGACACCAGAAGACGGCGTAGCTTGCAAGCCAAGTTAGCTAGGACCTCCCTCACGCCCTCGACCCTTTCGGTCGGGGGAAACTCTTCTGTGTAACGAGCCCTGACCCCGAACTCTATATAAGTGTAGCTAGGGCTCCCACCTCGACACATTCTCATTCATCGTCCTCTACCACTCCATCCATTCACCATAGCAGTAGGGCTCCTGGAGCTTCTCTTCGGGCTGCCCCTCAGACTAACATAGGCTCTACCACCTCTTTCACCATTCTTGCACCCCCCATTGTAAGACCTTCAGAGCATTCAAGCGAGGAACACACACTCGATCTTCTCTGAGACTCGACGTAGGGTTCTGCCCTGAACCAGTATAAATACTCGTGTCTATTGGATGTTACCATCGTCTTCCTAGAGCAGCGCGGCAATCGTATAAGTTTACTAGTCTAGTTTATGAAACACCGACACTTGTAAACCTCATCAGCTTCTTTGGCAACTTGAAATTTACTAGTTGTGATTACTCTACTTCCATGGTTATTCTCAAGAAGAGCCGGTTTGATTCTTTCCCAAGTCTGTGGCTCCCATATGTCATCAATAATGATAAAATACCTATGCACATAAAAGTGTTAGAGCAATGAGAAACTAAAGCAAAAAAAAGTGTGTCGTCACCAAGAATAATAGTAGAAGGCATACTCAGACAATAACATAAATAGTCACTTCTTGATTAATCTATCTAATCAGCCAGGAATTAACCGACAATACTTAATTATAACATAGAGAGATTATAATGCTTGCAAGAAAATACTCAACGATCAATCAAAGTGTAGTAGTGGAAACAACAGCATTCAAATGTACTTAAACCTTTTTTGTTCTAGACGTCAAACTAAAATGGTTTGATTGCACCACAGCATCGGTTATACTAGAAAACTTGTTTTCTATCTAATCTTTTCGTCTCGAAAAGTGTATATATATATATATATATATATATATATATATATATATATATATATATATACACACACACACACTAATCACTTAATTTTGGAGCTCCGCCGCATTTAACTCCACCCAACCATTTTCCTCCACCACCCGTAGCCAGCAGTGCCCTGTTAGATGGCAACGGGTGCAAACCCACTAGGTTTTGCCATCACAAACCAATACTCATGAACATAAATTTTACCCGTTAAAAAACCCATGACCCGTCGTGGGTTCAATTTTATGTCCAAAACTATAGCCACTTTGGTTACGGGTATCCAACGGGTCACCCAAACCCACATGCCACAACAACTAGCACACATGTTTTATTTATTTTAAAACAGCAATCATGGTCTTAAGTGATAAGATATTAATTATATTATTGCAACCTAATACATAAATGAAGTGTAAATTAAGTGATCATAGATTAGTTGGTTGGGCTTCTTGTGGTGGAATCTGCCCACTCGTGTTCAAGTCCTCGACTCAGTACGGGTGTTTGCATTTTCCTAGATTTATTTCAGGATTTAACGTCGCTATGCTTTCAGTGGTAGGCAACATCCCCGTCGACAACGAGGCGCCTGTGGTGACTACGTGAAACTCAAGATCTGCCGGCTCAGTCCTTTGAAGGCGCTTATAGGGGTAGGGTTTGCGTACGTGTGTTCATAGGAGTGAGTACACATGCGTGTTGTGGACGTCTACGTTGTACTGTGTAAACGCTAAAAAAAAGAAGTATAAAAAGTTCACATCTTTAAACTTATATTCCAGGCGACCAGATCTAGGCACCAAGCCACTAGCACTCCTTGGTTATGAACCGTGAAGCATCCTCTGTTCATGTGCTTATGAGTCTTGCATTTGTCTTCTTGTTTGCACAGCAAGGTGGGACTATCCATTCTTGAGCTAGCAGGCGAGCAGCGCTAGTGCTGTAGCCAATGAGTGCCACACTGCTATGCTAATTGGGCCGGTCTACAATCTCACGCTCCCTCTGTCCCCAAATAAATATATTTCTAGCATAAAAATTTGTCGATAAATAAATCAATCACTAGAAGACTCAATGGTCCCCTGGCTCAATTATTTCCTCAAAGTCCCCACATATTTACTACATCACCTCGCTTCTCTCTGTTTTCCACCAATCCAGGCTATTTTGGGTCTCGAATAGAAAAGTTGACCCATACCATTGTCCTAATAGGGTAAAAACCCGTTGGGTTTCGGGTTTCGGGTCTTGGTTACCCGTGCCCTAATAGGGTAAAAACCCGTCAGGTTTCGGGTCTTGGGTCCTGGGAAATGGTTTGATTGCACCATGGAACCAGTTATACTACACTAATAACTTAAACTTTATTCGTACTGCAAGCTAAACTGAAATGGTTTAGCACCATGGCACCGATTATACTACAAATATTTGTTGTTTATTAAACCTTTCCAAGCAAAGATAATATAAACTGCCACCGTCTTCAACCACCAGTAGCTGGTAGTGCCTTGGCTCATTGCTCCACCCATCGCCCGCCTCCTCTCATGGTGTATTAACTTCCCCAGCCTCTCATTTGTAATCCATGCAGCCTAAACCCATCCCAAGAACATCAAAAACTCCAAAATCCTAAGGGCACGTACAACGGTGGTTTATTTGCTGTCTGTATAGTGCTCCGTTAGTGCTTCCGTCCAATTTAATGAGGTGAGAGGGTGTTGCCGTCGTCTCGTGGAGAGACAGTCACCCGTTGTATTATCCGCTGCGAGTCTTCGACGGTACCCTTTGATCTGCTGCACATGGGTGCCCTGTGTTCCTGCCCCTACCACAAATCAAATGATGAGATATACGGAGAGACATGTGATTTATGAGATATATTATATTACGTTAGATATATTATGTTATATATATAATATATATAATTTACTTTGAAAGATTTGTTTTGTATCAATTAGCAACACAATGGTACACACAATGGTACATAGAAATGATATTCATGATTGATCACGGCTACATGCAAGCATTAAACGATTCGTAGACAGCCAAATAGACAGCAACTGTCTGTGGGTTGTATGAGCTGTCTGTTTAGCCGTCTATGTTGTAAATCCCAAGAACTTACAGACAATAACTGTCTCTCCGTTGTACATGCCCTAACCCCTCATTACCACCATCATCAATTCCATGTTTTCTGGTTCGTCACTTTAAGATTTTCAAGGTTTCCAGTAGACAAAGGACAGGAAGTATGAGTAAATTAGTGCAAAATCATTGGGTGCGTATTCTTTCGTACCTCTTTGCTCGAAGGAAATCATGGAGCTTGTTGATGAGCTGCCTTTCATCCAACATTGTGCATTTCAAATCTGTATATTTTTTCTTGTCAAGATCTATAAGAATGTCCCGGAAGACTTTATTCACGTCTGGATCTTGGCCAAGCGGAACAAAAGCCCCATAACCAAATAGAGATTTAAGCTGATCAAACACTGCCTTGGCAAGAGTAGTTTTGCCAAGCCCACCAACTCCCACAACAGTAACAATCTTCATCTTCTGGTTGGACTCGTCATTCTCGTTGGGCGACAGCATGGATATAAGATCAGCCCTTGACTTGTCGATGCCAATGATCTGTGACGCTTCTCTGTACATAGCAGTAAGGCGAGGATCAACAGTCCGCAATGATGCTGCAGGCTTGGCCACGATGCTGTCGACGGTGAATCTACCACGCCGGTCTGTCACCTCCTGGAGATTTTTCCTGATCTTCTCAATGGCACCAGCGATCTTGTGGCACTCCTTGCTCTTCTTTAACAGCCCAGTCATCTTCTCTCCCAGACGTTTGAGGAAACTGTTCTAGTCCTTGTGCTTGCTGCTGCCCTCGACACGCACAAGGTAGGTGTCGAGGATGTCCTCCATATCATAAGACGCCTCCCAGACTTCGCGCGCCCAGATCTTGACGACCTGATCGAGATGGTCCGGTGGCACCTTGGCCAACTCGAGGAGCGCGGCGTGGGCGCTCTCGAGCTCCAGCTCGAGACACTTGACTTGTTCCTCCACCCCCTTCTGCAGCTTGTACTCCTCCTTGAGCAGGTCCTTGAGCTTGGGGATTAGGCTGCCCATGACGCCTTCCACCAGCTCCATGGCTCTCGAGGTTGATTGCTTGCTTTCTTGTCTAACTGTTTCCTGCGTAAGGATGCAGGTATCACTAACTTTGTGTAGTTGTGTGACTCAGCTACCTTTGGTCGATGATGGTATATAATGTGGGGTCAGAGTTTTCTAACACTTGCCTGTAATAAAAAAAACATATAAGCATGCATCAGACGCACTGGCCTTATGAAACAATATTGATAGTTGGGGGCTTGCTTGAGCGTGTTCGGCTGGTCATATTATGGATTGTTTCAGCTTGTTTCAGCTTATTCTCTCTCACAGAACACTATTGAATCATCCAAAACCATCCGAAATCCACTGTGCAGCCTACCGGCCAAACACGCTAATTGTGTCTGTTAATTGGCATCCTCAATGAACTAATTATATGAGTAATGCTACTCAACTTCAATTTCACATTACCAAATTGTACAGAATCTTGGTTAGGTGTGTGTAAGGTCAAAGTCGTTGAGGAAAACAATCAATGAACTAAACATATAAGTAATACTACTCAACTTCAATTTCGCATAACCAAATTGTACATAATCTTGGTTAGGTGTGTATTAGGTGCAGAGATGTAAGGTCAATGTCGTTGAGGAAAACAATATTAATGTACCGTTTGACAGCTTAGATTCACTAGTGAAGCTGTTTTTTAGTTTCAGCTTCACGTGCAGCTTTCTCGGTGAAGCTAAACTTGTTTTGGAGCCCCGTTCGGCAAAATAGCTTCCCATGGTGGAAAAAGACTATAATGCCCTTCTCTATTTTTCTTCTCTCCTATTTCTCCTTCTTCCTCATCTATTTTCTTCTCTTCGATTTCCTCCCTGACGCCCACGCGCATTCCCCCATCCGACCGCTACGCCCGCCCTCCCGACCAAGCTCACCCCGACGTGTTCTCCAAGGCATGCAAGACCAACCTAGTCAGATTCTAGGAAAGTCTAACTCTGTAATTAGATTAAAACTCTTATATTGTAACAGCCTAGGACTAGATGAATGTGTCTACCCTCTGGACTATATAAACTGTGACAGGAGCACCACCTTGTAACACATCTGATACACAACAATCCAACACAAGGAAAGACGTCTAACTGGACATAGGGTATCACGCTATTCTAGCGAACTGAACCAGTATAAATCACTGTCTTTGCGCTCACCATTGAGTTCAGCATACGTCGAAGCCCACCTAACATGGTTACAACTAGCCCTGTAACATGTTGCCAGTCATTAGACACTAGCCCCCTAGGAGGAGGTCTTTCTACTCTTTGAACAAAATATAATGCAGACTGCTTTTTGTAGATAAAAGAGAGAAAGACCAGCTCCAAGTCATTATAAACCAAAAGCAATTTGCTCTTACACTAGAAGCTACAGGATGTCATCGTCATGATGCAAGAGCATTAACATCATTCAAAATTTCGATGATGTCGTATGACACGCAGGGACAATGACTGATTAAGTTACAAATTCTTTTTGGTTGAGACGATACGTCGTTCCAAATTGATGGCATCGTTAATTAATACTCATTATTGCTCTACTAAAATAACAAATTCTTAAGACAGATGACATGTCCGTAATCTTGTGCATTCTGAATTACTTTAGCTATATATGTATTCACCAGTGAATATAGTGGGACGAGAAAAATGGACTACAAAAATAGCTTTATTTGAGGTACCTGTTCTCTGCAAAGAGTGAAAGATAGAAGAGTAGCCTGGAAAAGAGGGAGATAATGATGCCACCAACATCCAAACAGCTACTAGCGGCCATGACGTGGCACTGCGAATCTTGCTAGAGTAAAGGCGCTCCTATGCCTTTGCTTGGCCTGCCTCCTTCGAGTATCAAATTCGGGCTTGCCTGACATTGTGTCTGTTACTTGGCATCTTCGGTGAACTGGACAAATGGGTAACAATACTCAAATTCAATTTGCTGCTATGAGATTGTAAAGCATCTTGGTTAGGTGCAGATTAGGTATAGACCCTAGACCTCGAGGTCAGTCATCGATGGAAACAAATGAATTTTATATCTTGGAAACTGACAGAGCAACCACTGGTCTTTTATAAGATGAAAAGGATGCAAAAATTAGATTTCGTTATTATATACCAAGTTGTCACGTAGTAGTCCGATGGTCTGAGGGTTCAACTTCGTGTTATGTTCAGCCGATCAGCCAGACCTCAGCGATATTAACGAATTTTGTGATTTTCAGTGATTTTTCGCTGCAAAATAATTTGAACAGCTGATTCGAATAACGATCTGTCTTTTTAACCAAAATTTATCTGAAAAAATAGAAATTTTTGGGTTCAAGTTGGTTGAAGTTTCAGCGATTAACACACTCACACAGATTACTGTCTTTTTCTTCAATGGTTCATAGCAAACCCACATTGCAGATTAAAAGTACTATACTAGAACTTACCGTTGAGAGCATTTTTTCAGTTGAGCTGCTGCTCGAATTTTGCTCTCTGGTGCTGTTTTGCTGGAAGCCAGGAGATGAGCTGCTGGTGCTGTTTTGCTCATATATCGACTTAGATAGCGAGCACCGAGGTTAGTAAGTTGCTCTTTACACTCGATCAATTTCTCGCTTGTTTTAACAACGTCAGCCAGGTGGTGGTCCAAAGCGGGAAATCTGTTGTTTGTGGCACAACTGCAAAAATAAATGTGCTGAAACAGAAAAACGAACAGGGTTGTAGTATGCTAGTGGATCGGCCCAATGCAATTCGATCCTTCAAGCCTACACTGTTCTTTTTGGCCCAGGACTACACGTGGGCTAGGCTGATTCACCTCATATAAGCCCAAGTGAGTCGAACTCAACGGCTTCTGTGAGCACGATGGGCTCCAACACGAACGTTAGGTTTCGCACGAGGCGGTGCTCGAGGGAGGCGTCTACGAAGCAGCCGTGCGTGACTTCGTCGCGGCGCATGTGGTCGGTGCTGACTGCTGAGGTACAGTGGAGGTTTCTTGACGATGCCGCGGTGTGGATGTTGAAGGTGGTACCTGAGGTTCGGCCACCATCTCTAGCAACGCCCTCTGCATGGACGACTTCATCTTGAAGTTCGCCACCACCTCTAGGAACGCCTGCCAGTCCTCTTGTCGTCTCTGGTGGCCCAGTCGCTTCTCCAACTTCTGGCCCAGCCAATCATCTTGACTTGCCCAACAACGCTGGTCTTGGAAGCACCGGTGTCTTCAGCAGGTATGGTGAATCGTGAGAAGCACAAGCATGTGCTTCTTTCACTTGTGTCGTGCAGTTTTCTGATGATACAAGGCTTATTAATTAAGTTTCTGAAATTGGCTTCGTCATTCCTCAATCTGACCAGCATTGTGCTGACGTTTCTTCATGGCGACGGCAATCATTTTGCATACAAGTGTCCTCTGGGCTGCACGTCAGACCATGGTGACAGATATAGATCAAGCTCTGTTGGTTTAATTTGGGACTCACCATGGCCGGCATAGTCACCAGGTCAGCTCATCAGCTATCATCGCAACGTACCGAACAAACTGCAATATGCATGAGGTACACTGTACATGGTTATAGAACCAAGAGAAGCTCTGCATCAGAAAAAACAAGACACACAAAAGTGACGATGAAAGCAGCTGAATGTTCCTCCATTAATTTTGCAAAGCACAGTATATGGCACAAACTTAATTGTACGTACATGACCCCATAAAAAACTAGAAAGACAGTAGCTCGGCATGATCAAGTTTTACTAAAGGTCATAGTAAATTGAAACCTAGAACAAGCCAAGTGGGTCTACAGAGATTCAGAGAGCATGATCCAATACACAAGAACAATGTTGCTGCAATAAGCATGGCCATTGACGTCGATCGCACAGTAAGGCTGGATCGCGAACAGAGGAAATGCTGGGGTTCTTGCTCAATCTACTGCAATGGACACACGTGGTGGAGACAGTAAGCAATGGCCCATTGGCGAATATATCATGGATGAACTTGTTCTAGGTAGTGGCTAAGGCCGTACCGATGTACATCCAACCATTACCTGGGACATGTACACGACAAACAATTAGCATCATTTACGAATAAACTCGGAATTTCTATGAGGATGGCCACATTGATTTCGGAATACGCAGATAGAGTCTAACTGTGCAAAGAAGAAACAGAGTTCACAACTAGATTGTGCGATCACCAGTTGTGCTAGTAACAAATGAATAAAAAGGATAATTAGAAGCATAACAAAATGTAAAAGATTCTTAGAGACATAAAACTAGAATAAAATAGTAGGGTAAACAAGGTTATTTGTCATGGTAAGTTAGGGGTGAACATAGGGGCATCCATGGAAGTGATAACTAGAAGCATAACAAATGTAAAGGATTCTTAGAGACATAAAACTGGAATAAAATAGTAGGGTAAATAAGATTATTTGCCATGGTAAGTGAGGGGTGAACTCAGGGGCATCCATCGATGTCATAGTCTTATGGCAGCATGCAGAAGATTATTAGACAGGCTACAATAATAGGTGGCTAAAAAAAGTTATTGGACCGGCTAAAGAACCAGAAAAAGGAAGAGGATTACGTACATGCAAAGCAGGATCCATTGGCCATCAATTCTCATAGAAATTTCAGGATGGTTGGGGTGGGCACGTGCCTCGTTCCTCAGCGCCTCTTTTACTTTCATTACTAACTCTTCGCTGACTGTATCATCTCCATCAAGGCGAACCCGAACAGTCTGAAGGGACAGAA